ATAACCCTGTGATCCCTGTACAGTGATTGTTTATTGTTGGCAAATAACTGTACAATAGCTTTGACAATCGTCGTGCGACCCCGTGATAACAAGTACACACCCCCAAAAAAATACCCTATTATAGCCCTAATAATCCCACATAATCCTCCTAATAACTCCATGAGGCCCCGTATCCAGTTCACCTTCCACCAGTCGCTTGTCACGTTGCGTCCTAAACTATATATTGTGTATCATAGATGTTATTTTCTAACAGAAATCTATGTAATTAGTGAAGGACTGGGGGGGGGCTGATAAACCAGTGTTTTTGTTTCAGAACCAGCTGGGCATCCTGTGGGCAGGGCTGGGGGAGATCGAGAAAGCACAGAAGTACCTGGAAGATGCTGAAGCGCTTTACAACCAGTATATGCGAGAGGTCAGCTCCAGAGGCCACGTCAGCATTGAGTGACTGGGGCGGGGTGGGGGGGGTTGGTGTGGGGAGGGGGGTGTGAGAGGTTCCCCTGTGCCGGTGGGGGTCACCGTGTGGGGGCGGGGATAAACGGTGCGCTATTTACAAAGGAGAGTTGATTTGACTAAAGCTTCAGCGGCCTTCTTTCTTTCCCCCACCCGCCGTCCCCGGCACTCCCCTCCCTTCTGCCACAGTACCATTGGGAGACGGCGTGAGTGTAATGTCTCACTGATTGCTTGTAACACTGCAGTGGTCAGTCACAGCATTGGAGGTATTCGTAACACAGTGTATTCCACTTACTGTAAGTCCATTCCTAACAGTGTCAATTCTCCTTGGGGGTGGGGGGTTGGCGGGTTGGGGGGGGTAAGCAGGGACTTAACTGGATCCAAGGTGACATGTTTGTCCAGCCCTCTGTGACGGTCCTGCCAGACAGTGATATCAATGGCAAACCGTGCAGTTTTAGCTGGTTAGACTCCAGCAGTTACCCCAAACCCCAGCATATTCTGGGGTCCCCAAGCATTGGCTCTTGCCAACCTGTGCCTAATACTTTCCGGAATTAAGTAAACTGGATGCATCCCTCCAGGGAGGATGGGCGCATTGCATTCCAACAATCCATGGGATTTCCATGTGTTGGTCAAATGCATGAAAGTCTCACTTTGGTTTGGATACTCTTAAGCACAGTGATGGGTTTCCGCATGTGTCAGATACTTGGTGACCCAACAGCTTTAACCTCAAAGTCCTGAACTTCTCCATTTAATGTCTGGCAGGGTGTGACGCCAGCGTGCAGTATACTCACTAAATCCTCTCACCTCAATTTCAAGGTCCTCACACTCGTTTTCAAATCCCTGGTATCTTCCTATCGCTCCGACCAGCTTACTTCTCAACCCACTACCCGCTACCTCTGCTCGACTGGCTGCGGCTTCCTTTGTTCCACCATCGGTGAACGCGATTTCAGCCAATATGCCCTGAACCTCTGGAACATTCTTTATCCCTCCGTCTTGGCCCCTTCCTTCCCCATCTTCAGATCGCACCTGAAGACCTTCCTCTTCGACCGTGCCTGCGGTCACCTCCCCCCAGCTCAGACTCATGCTCCGCCACTGTTAAGTACTCTGAGGCTCTGACCATGCGTGAGGGGGGGGGGGGGCGCTATATAAATACAAGTTGTTGTTGTTTCCTCAGAGCCAAGTGTCGAGCCCATGGTCTGTTCAGTTACAAAGCTCTGATCATTAGAGCCCCCACCCGGAGAAGCTTGATGCACAGAATGCACCATTGGTGGGGGGAGGGAGGAAAGGCACACAGAGGCCCCTCGGTCAGGTAGGTCAGTCAGCGTCTGGCCCAGAGTGCACAGGGAAGCTCAAGCAAACGGACAAAATACACAGTGAAGATCAGCCGGGGTTCCAGCTCTTGGTTGCTGTGCAGAGGTATCCCCACGACCTGTGTGCAGTGTTGCTGCCCTCAGCACAGCTTACATCTTTTTTGGAGGGAGGGTCAGCCGTGTATGTGACACACACGGAAACCCATCACCGTGCTTAAGAGTCTCCAAACTAAACTAAGAATTCCATGCATCCCACCTGCACATGGAAATCCCAGAGGTAGTCTGTTGGAATGGAATGCATACTCTCCCTGGAGGGACACATCCTGCTTACTCAATTCTGGAGAATACTACGCACAGGTTGGCAAGAGCCAAGGCTTGGGGACCCCAGAGTGTGCGTTGGGGTAACTGCTGGAGTCGTACCAGCTAAAACCACATAGCTTGCTATTGATATCACTGTCTGGCAAGCTTTCCCGCTGCTTGTCCAGCTCGGACCACCCAATCCGTTAGGGCTTTGGCTCACAAGGTTAACAGGCAGGAGAGCAGTAAGGGAAGACCAGCAGTGATGACGAGTTGGAGGAGGAGACTGTAACCTGACCCAGTGTGTTACTCCCTAGATTGGAACTGCACCGTATGACCCTCAAGAGCACTTCATGGCAGAAGAAGAGATGCTGAGTGAACAGGAGAGACACAAGAGGTAGAGCAGCAACAGTGTGCACTGTGCTCTCCAGTTTAGCAGCCTGACTCGATGGGTGGTGCACTCGCTCCTGAGTCAGAAGGTTACTCCTTCTCCCCCACCCACCCGCCTGCCTCCTTTAAGACTTGGCTTAAGACTTTCGGTCACCCTTCTAATACCATCCTCCTGGCCCTCCTGATCCCAACCCCCAGCCATCTTCAACGTCAGGTGGACGTTGAAGATCCCATGAAGCTATCAGCAAAGAGAAGAAAGTTTCTCTCTTTCAGTGTCCTGACCGACAATCCCCCAGATAATATTGGTCACTCGCTTCATTGCTGTTTGCAGACTATCCCTGTGCATAAAATGGCTGCTGTGCGTAAAATACACCTACACAATACACAGTCACTACACTTTACAGTAAACCTGTGAAGTGCTTGAGAGGTTCTAGACAAATAATAATAATAATCCTTGCATTTGATACAGTGCCTCATCACATCTTCGAGATGTCTCAAAGCGCTTCACAGAACATACCGTGAAGTGAATTGACTGTATATTTTGTGGGCAAAACACGGCAGCCAATTGCGCACAGCAGTGTCCCACAAACAGTCGTGGATTGAGTGACCAATTTTTTTTAAAGGAATTATTACCCCCGGAAAAGCGATCAGCCGATCGACTAACAACCGAGTTCCTACTTACTGCTAGGTGAACAGAGGCGTGTGGAGTGAGGAACCTTTGTCCAACGTTTCGCTCTGCCGGGAATCGAATCCAGGTCAGGTCTCTCGCTTGCGAGGTGTGTGCTCTAATCACTGAGCTACAGGACTCCACAAAATGTCCGTGTAAAGCATTTTATTCTTGTTAACCTTACACTGAGTATTTGCGTCCTGACGGTGCAGGTTTGAGAAGGTTGCCACTCAGACGCTGTATTACCTGGCTCAGGTTTACAAACACCTGGATATGGATGAGAAAGCTGCTCGGTATTGTCACACCACTCTGCAGCGGCAGCTCGAGACCCGAGATTATAACCCCGTGGAGTGGACTATCAACGCTGCCACACTGTCACAGTACTACATCAGCAAGGTAACCGACTACACAGCTCAGGCCTCTCATGGGCTCATGGTACAGTGTGTTCACAAAGTCCTGTTACCCGCATGGTATTTTCTCTACAGTGCACTGGCCAACAACTGAAACATGTGGAAGAATTATGATAATCATCAGGACACTGCTGTGCAATTGGCTGCCGCATTTCGCCCACAAAATATACATTCAATTCACTTTACAGTATATTCTGTGAAGCGCTTTGAAACGTCTTGAAGACGTGATGAGGCGCTGCATCGAAGGCAGGGATTATTATTATAATTGCATTCAGAAGTACTTCATTGTACTTCTGAATTGTACCAAAAACAATAATAAATTGGTCATTTTCAATCTACGACTGTTTGTGGGACACTGCTGTGCGCAATTGGCTGCCGCGTTCGCCCACAAATATACAGTCAATTCACTTTACAGTGTGTTCTGTGAAGCGCTTTGGGACGTCCTCCTGACGTGAAAAGCGCTATATCAAATGCAAGGATTATTATTATTATTATTGTAGTCAGTACAAGGATCTGTGTGAGCGAGGGCCATCAGTTTCATGGCAGATAATGATCCGTCACATCTTCCGTAACACGGATGGACTCAGTGAGGAGGAAGTTACTGGTGTCAGACATTGTTACACTCGACTCATCTGCAACAGAAAATCAAAATTCATTGTAAGAAAAAAAACAACAGGTGGTAACCGGAATTTGTGAACACTGTCCTGGGGGCAATGCTTTGTGAAGGGGATTGTAACTGCAGAGCATTGGAATGTGATGTTTAAATGTACAATCTACATAGTTATTTTGTGGGGCCAACAATCCCTCAAATAAGATCGGTCACTAACTCCATGACTGTTTGTGGGACATTGTTATGTGCAACTGGCAGCCATGTTTTGCCCTCAGAATACACAGTCACTACACTTTACAATATATTCTGTTAAGCGCTTTGGGTCGTTTCAACGATGACAGATACTCAGTGACTGCACCAGCACATAGACAATGAGAGAAAGAGCAGGGAAATGGGATGGCATTGGTGGGCGTAATAGGAGCAGCACAGACAAAAGGGAGGGCTTCCTAACCTAACTCAGTGGTACAGGAGAGAACTGTTTTGTGTAACTCCACGCTGTACTGTGGACTCACAGGGCTCCCAGCTTGGCTAACACCTGGCTGTTTCTTTCTTCACAGGAACTCTACATGGAAGCTCGCCTCTGCCTAGCCGGGGCTACCGTCATTTTTGAGGAATTGGGAGACGTGTCACTGGAATCTGCTGCTGAGGAACTAGGTGCTTATTTAGTCCTGACTTCACAGGCACTCAGTCTGCTTCACTATAGTAACTCCATACTGTACTCTTCACAAATTCAACCTGGGTCTAAATTGGTGTAACATTTCAAAGTGTGCAGAATTTGTACCCCCTGGGGCCTGGTGGTGTGTAGGTGTGTCAGCCTGGGGTCAGTGGCAGTGCTCTCGCCTCTGAGTCACAAGGTTGTGGGTTCAAGCCCCACATTGGCACTTGGAGTCACACAGTGTAAGCTGACACTCCATTGCAGTGCTGGGGGAGTGTTGCGTTGTCGGAGGTGCCGTCCTTCAGTTGAGTCAATAAATTGAGGACCTGTCAGTTCAGGTGGATGTTAAAGATCCTACGACACTACTCAAAAATAAAAGGGAGTTTCTTTCTCCCGATGTAATGGTCAACAATCCACCAAATAAAATTGGACACTCACACCAGGGCTGTTTGTGGGACATTGCTATGTGCAATTGGCTGCCATGTTTCACCCGCAAAATACAGTCCACTTTACAGTGTATCCTGTGAAGCGCTTTGAGACGCCTCGACAACTTGATAAGATGCTGTATCAAATGCAAGGATCATTATTACTATTATTGAGTATGGTTGAGACTCAACACTGTGTACTTGCAGCAGGTGAGGACGCGGTGCATCTACACGAGCAGAATCTGCACGACTGGCTGGGACAGAAGAAGTCCGATATTTCACGGTGCTGGATAAAGTACTGCCTCTTCCTCCTGCAAGACTCCCGCAAACTGCTCGAGGTAAGCACTCGCTCTTTCTCTGTGGTTTCCAGTGTTGTGCTAGCAAACAGCAGCGCCGTGCCAGCCTGTGTGTAACTCTCACGTTGACTGCAATAAGAGAGGTGCGAGTGTGAGGTGCAAACGTTTTTAGTACGGGAAACAGTGGGTGAAGCTGCTATGCACTTTACCCACCAGGTGGAAGTGTTGTGCTGCCAAGGTGCAGTTGCCAGTTGTCGTCGGGCATTGTGCTTGGAGACAGAGGTTTACTTCCCTCACCAGCGGGGAGCTTGTGGCGGGGGGTGGGGGATAGAAATCAGGGCTCAGCCGTCCCCTCTCAACCATGCGCTCAGGAGGATCAGACACTCAGCAGGTCCTGAGGAATGTTCTTCAGGGGAGGGTGCGAGGCGGAGGGATTGGGGGAGAAAGTTCCAAAGCTTTGGGACGTACTGATTTAAAGCACAACGACCAGTGGTGTAACGGAGGGGACGAGGGACAAGCAGGAGGCCAGAGCCAGCCGAGCGGAGAGGTGGGGTGGGAGGGAGGGAGAGAGAGAGAGGGGAAGAAACACTCCTGGACACTAACCAGCTACCTTATGGGTGAAGGCAGTTAGCCATACAGAGGAGACCACGTCCTCACTCTCCAGAGACACCCCTCTGCTCCACTGTACCATGTGTGTGGATATGGGGGTGATGCCCAACACCCCAGTGAAATATTAGCACGTAACTATTGCCCAAGCGATTGAAGCCAGGAAGGATTTGTGGAGTCCTATAGTGTATTGGTTAGAGCACTCACCTCGTAAGCAAGAGGACTCAAGTTCAATTGCTGGGAGGAAGAAAAATTTCCTTACGCCACACGCCTGTGTTTACCCAGCTGTAAATAGGAACCCGGTCGATTGGTGGATCGCTTTTCTGGGGTGAAATAATCCTTTAAAAAAAATGTGGTCACTCAATCCACGACTGTTTGTGGGACAGTGCTGTGCGCAATTGGCTGCCGCGTTTCACCCACAAAATATACAGTCAATTCACTTTACAGTATATCCGGAGAAGCACTTTGAGATGTGAAAATGCACTTTGAGGTGCATATCAAATGCAAGTATAAATATTATTATTAACTTGGGGGGAGGAAGAGAGAAAACTGGCAGTATAAAGGGGTCAGGGACTAGCTGGGTCAGGGTGAAATGCCAGTTCATGTTCTGATTGGGGTTTGTCATCAGTTCCGCCTCCCCTCCCTTAACCTGATGGGAGGGGCCCATGGAGGCAATGGTGTCTGTGGCCGACAGAAGAGCGATTGAGCGACCTGTCCACTCCCTCTGCTCGGCGGGCTCTGGTCTGCTCCATGCCCCCACCCTGCTCACCCCACCCTCGGTGTTCAGACGTTCAGCCTCTCTGACCCCACCCTCTGGAACTCCATCCCACAGTCCCTTGGCCTCACCCCCTCCCTTACTCCTTCAAGGCCCGTCTCAAGACCCTCCTCTTTGACCGCACCTTCGGTCACCCTCGTAACCCCACCCTCCCTACAACCACCCCTCCTGATCCCAACCCCCAGTTTGGGTCCAAATCCCTGACTGTCCAGCGCCTTGGAACGACTCCCAATGCTGTGTAAATGTAAGTTGCTGTATTACTGTAGCTGCTCTTCCCGCAGGACGACATTGCGGAGCTGGACCCAGAGCGTCAGGACGAGCTGCGAGCCCAGCAGGCGCGGGAGGAGGAGGAAAAGGAGCGAGGGAGGAAGAAGGCCGTGCAGTTCGGCTCCAGCGAAACCTTTGACTCCATCCTGTCTGCAGAGGAGAAGGTGACCTGCTTGTACCCCGTGGACTTCCAGAGCGCCCGGCAAGTCTTCCTGTTTGGCCAGAGCCACGTGCTGGAGAGCAAGAAGTTCTTCCAGCTGGATGGCCACACCAGAGACCATGTGGAGGTGGTGCAGGACCACAGCGCCCTCTTCAAGGCCTTGGCCTTTTTTGAGGAGGACCACGAGCGGCGCTGCAAGATGCACAAGCGGCGGGTGGACATGCTGGAGGCGGTGCACAAAGAGTTAAACCCGCAGTATTACCTGCTGGTGTGCCGGCAGTTGCAGTTCGAGATCGCGGACGCCTACTACCAGATGATGATGCTGAAGGTGACCATCGCCAACGGGCTGGAGGATCTGGACCAGCGCAATATCAAGAAAATCAACCACCTGGCGCACGCCGCCATCTCCTCCTACCAGCTCTTCCTGGATTCCCTGAGGGACGCGGACAAGCAGTTCCCCTCGGAGCTGGAGTCGGATGTGCTGCGGCCCGCACTGTTCGCCAAGTTCCGCATGGGCTACCTCCACAACAAGATCATCACCGCCGAGCCCCGGGGCCAGCTGGAGAACACGCAGAACTCCCTGGACTGCTACAGCTTCGTGGTGGATTATTGTCAGAGCCATGAGGAGGCCATCGCAGCCGTGGAGATGGAGCTGGAGCTGTGCACCGAGATGACAGGGCTGCTCGCCGCCAGGGTGAAGCAACTCCGAACCAAGCTGCTGGCCGAACCCTAGAGCCCCCCTCCACCCCCCACCCCCTCGCTCGCTGTACCTTCTCTTTCCCGTTGTATTTAAGTTGTTAAAAAGAACTCTGAGCTGCTGGGCTCGGAATGGAAATGGACGGACTTGAACATTTCCTGTAGATTTGGTCTCTCTCTCTCTCTAACACCCTCTCTGGATCACTGGTATGTTGCTGCCCTCTGGTGCAGGCCTGTGATAGATCACAAGTGGTGTCGGATTTCTTGAGTGACCCGAAGGCGTCTCACGCGGGAGGCAGTGGAATGAAATGTGTGTATTGTCTCCCCCGATTAAAAGTTTGAAGCATTTTGCAATGCCTCTTTTTATAAGGCTGTTACATCCTTCCAAACCACGGCAAAGTGAGCCTGGGACCCAGATAGGCCGGCGGGACGGGCGGACAAGTGGCGGGCGCAGTCCAATGAACAGGGAAAGAAAAAGTGTCCGCGGCCGGCAGGAGAGTGCGAGCATGTGAGCTGGCTGTTCCCTCCGCTCGGCAGACTCCGGCCTGCTCCATGTTCCCTGCCCAGCCCACCACACCCCACACTAGCAGCAGTCAGGCCTTCAGCTTTTCTGCCCCCACCCTTTGGAACTCCATCCTGCAGTCTGTTCGCCTCACTCCCTCCCTTGCCTCCTGCAAGGCACGTCTCAAGATCCTCCTTGACCATGCCTTCGGCCACCCTTCTACACCTACCCTCCCTCCTCCCTGATCCCAATCCCCTGCTCGGGTCCAAATCCCTGACTGTCCAGCGCCTTGGGACATCCTCCCGACATGAAATGCACTATACACACAGGACTTTGGTTTAACATCTCATCCAAAAGACCAGCTCCCAACAACGCAGGCTCCTTAGCACTGCACTGGATTGCCAGTCTAGACCGGTGTGAGTGCCACTGACTGAACCAGGCTGACCAGGCAGTGGGCAGCTGAGGAAGGAAGGCAGCAGAAACAGAATAAACGCAACAAACTGTCTAGCACTGAAGAGTTACAGCAGGCGTCTGGTGTAATGAGGAAGGAAGGAAGGATGTGATGTGCAATGTGGAGGTGAGATGAGAGGCCTCACTAATGCTGATCAGCAGTTAAGCACAACAGTTTTGTTGCACGACCTAACGGTTCCTGAGATGAGGTTCAAACTCAATGAAATGTACTTTTCCACATCCTCTAATCCACTGACCCGGGAGTGTGGACGGACAGTGTAGAGGGAGCTATACTTTGTCTCTAACCCAATGCTTTGGGATGTCCTCCCGCTCTATAAATGTAATTTTGTTGTATTTTGTTGATGTCACTGATCTGGGAGAGTGGACAGAGAGTACAGGGAGCTTTGCAATTGGAGTTGAGGTACAGATAGATCAATCATCATGATCTAATAGAATAGAGAAACAGGCTCGAGGGGCTGAATGGCCTACTCCTGTTCCTATGTCTCTTAACGCATGCTGTCACTGATCTGGGAGTGCTGGGTGGATAGCAGAGGGAGTTTCCCGGGGACCTGGATGGGAAAGTGCTCTGTCTACACTGTCCATGCAAGACTCCCAGATCAGCGAGAGCACAGTAGGCTGTGGGAAGCACCAGACCCCAGCCAATCCCGTCCCCGACCCATATCAACCAATTTGAATGTCGGGAAGGAAGAGAGGTTCTGATGCACCTTAAAAAGTTGAGCAGAACAGAGTCGATTGAAAGCATTACAAAAGAGGTTTTGGAGATAATGAAAAGGTTTGAGAGGATAAGAGTGAGAGGAATTCAAGTACAAGGGGACTTCAGTAGAATGACTGGGGAAGTTAGGGGAAAATTGTGCTGGCGGGTTAGCAGTGCTGGGATGATTTGCCAGGGGCATTTGGTGATTGGATTGAGACCTTATAGGCTGACATACAGAGGATATGGGGAAAATAATAATCCTTGGATTTGATATAGCAGCAGCCAATTGCGCACAGCAGCGTCCCACAAACAGTCATGGATTGAGGTTTTTTTTTTAGGGATTATAACCCCCGTAATGAGATCTGGCAATCGACTAACAACCGGCTCCCTACTTACCTCTAGGCAAACAGAAGCGTGTGGAGTAAGGAAACTTCCCTAAGGTTTCGCCCTGTCCGGGAATCGAATCTGGGTCCTCTCGCTTGTTTGATAACCACTATACTACCGGACTCCACTTAACCCACTTATGGAAAGTGTGAGTAAGGTCAAAGAGGTTTCTTATTGTAAAATGGATTGACGTGTATTTTGTGGGTGAAACGCAGCCAATCGCATACAGCAGTGTTCCACAAACAATAATGGATTGAGTGACCAATTGTTCTTTAAAAGGAATATTACCCCCGGAAAGTGATCCACCAATCAACTAACAAATCCACCAATTCCTATTTACTGCTTAGGTAAACAGAGGTGTGTGGAGTTAGGGAAACTGGCGCAAGGTTTCCCCCCACCTGTGAATCAAAACCCAGGTCCTCTCACTCTAACCACTACGCCATGGGATGGAGAAAGCAGGGAAATGGGAATGCTTAGACGGCTACAATGGAGGACAGTGATATAAGGGGTCAAATGGTCTCCCGCTGTGTGCAAATGTCTGGGGATCTTGTGGATGGGAAGCAGGTGTGAGGATATTGGAGACAGAAAATGGGGCAGCAAGTTATGAAAACGGGAGCAGGAGGGCATTCAGCTCATTAAAGATTGTTCATTAGATTTTAGGAGATTTTATCTCCTGAAACCTTATTCAATCAAGGCTGACACCTAAAGAAAGCCTGTCCCGTTTTGCTCAATTCCATACCTCTCAGTTTGGGTCTTTGGAAAGTCCCCCAGCCAAGCCCTCTGTACTGGACAGGGTGAAGCGCTGGAATCATTTTATGGTTTAAAGCCTTTATATGGTTGTAATGTAAAATAGCACTGGTCTGTTTTAGTGGAACATTGAGCGGGTGGAGAGGGGTGAGGGCCTACATACACATCACCACATTGTGACACCCTCTTTGTGTGCTGTAAAGCCCCTATGATTCACTATTGTCCCCATCACAGCTGTTATTGAGCGCTGTGCTGGTGGAAATGTTGACCAGACGTTGTGTGCTGTTTCTGTTTGTAGCGCCTGCCCCTCACTTCCTGATCAGCTCAGCTCTTGCCCAACCCAGGCTGTCACGAAACTGCCTCTCCGCTTCATTCTCTTGCTAATATTACTCCTTCCCTTTCTCTTTCGTTTTTATCTTTATGTTTCACTTTATCTCTCTTTTCCTCTCTTTCTCACTATCTGTTTTGCCCTCTTTTGCTTACATTATTCTCCGGGGGGTGGGGAATGGTAAGCAACAACAACATTACAGGACGTCCCAAGGCGCTGGATAGTGTACAGAATTTCGGACCTGAGCCGGGGTCGGGGGGGGGGGTAGAAGGGAGGGGAGGGGAAGAGGGGGTGGCCAATGGCATGGTCGAAGAGGAGGGTCTTGAGGCGGGACTTGAAGGAGGCTAAGGAGGGGGTGAGGTGGAGTGATTGGGGGATGGAATTCCAGAGGTTGGGGGCAGAGTGGCTGAAGGCTCTCCCACCAATGGTGGGGCGGGTGGATTGGGGGACGTGGAGCAGGCCAGAGCCGGCTGAGCGGAGGGAATGGGCGGGTTGGTAGAGGGAACGGGCGAGTAAGCAGGGTTTCCTTGAAGCTGAACTAGCTCCAAGATGGCATGTTTGGCAGTGGAATATTGGAATGAAGCCCATCCTCTGTGACCATCTCAGCCTGGCTTATCAGCAGGACTCAGAAGGGCAGGCCAGTCACAGGGGGCAGGGAATCCTCCCACTCAGCACCTGTTAACCCTGCAGACCAAGCTGGATAAGCAGCGAGAAGCTTGCCACACCCAATGATTTCTATGTGGTTTTAGCTGATTAGACTCCAGAGTTACCCCAACACACACTCTGGGATCCGCAAGCCTTGGCTCTGGCCAACCTGTGCCTAATACCAGTGTGTCTTCATCCACTGCCCTTCCCCTGCAGGCTGCTCATTGCTAACTACAATGAGTGTCATCTCCCCTCTGCACCACCTGTAGCCTCCATAGCCTCCTGCAGGCTGACAATGTCCCACTAATCCGCCACCTCTCGTCTCAGCGTGCGCATCTTAGCTGCCGCCCCCGACCCGAACTGGCCCTCCCTCAAAATGCCCACCTCCCTGAAACTCTCCCGCTCTGTCCTCTCTCTCCGCCCTCCCTGCCTCCTATCTCTGCTTGGGCCCCCACCCACTGCCTCCTGCTCCAGCCTGGGAATCCTCTTTTGGGCTCATCGTGGTACTCAGCGTTGGCTTCCCAGCTGCAGTCACACCGACTGCCCCATTCCCCACTACCGCCGCAAGCCACCCCTCCCTGCCAACCAATCCACTACCCCCTCCCATCGCACACATCCTCCTGGCACTGTCCACTCTGCATTAGCCTTCAAAGTGTCCGCTCCATCTGCAATAAGAACTGGCTGTCAACAATCTCATCCTCAATGAGAACGTTGATATTATGGCCCTCACGGAAACCTGGATCACCCCAGGTGACACCTTCCCCTCACTGAGGCCACACCACCCAGCTATACCTGCCACCATGCCCCACGCCCCAACTGTCGTGGCAGTGGTGTGGCCCTCATCTCCAGGACATCACTTGTCCTATCCCCCTACTCCACTGGCTCATTCCCCTCTTTTGAACACCTTACCCTCTCCATCCCTCCCATCTCTCACTAAAAATTCTCCTAATTTACCGCCCCCCCAAAATTCTCCCCCACCTTCATCTCTGACATCTCCACCCTTCTAGCTTCTCTCTGCCTCTGCTCCAACCGCCTCATCATCCTAGGCAACTTCAACCTCCACTTCACCCACTCTTGCTCCACCTCATCAGACTTCTCTCTCCTCTCCTCTCTTAACCTCTCCCTGCACATCCACTCTGCTACCCACACCCACAGTCACCTGCTCGACCTGGTGATCACCCGGGGCCTCAGCGTCTTGGATGTCACCATCACAGACAAGGCCATCTCTGACCACCATTTCATCTCCCTCAACTCCTATATCCCTCTCCCCACTGCCTCCAAACCTACCACCATCTCCTACCGTCCATGGAAGAAAATCTCTTCGCAATTCCTCTCCGCTGCCCTGGAGTCCTCTGAACTCCTCCCCCTCTGGCCCACCTCCCGCACCAACCCATCCTCTGGTTTACTCTCTCCCACAGTACCCTCTCCACCACACTCGACGCCCTTGCCCCCCCTCACCTTCTGAACTGCCTCCTATTCCTGATCCTCACCCTGGTTCACCAGCCACCTCCGCTCGCTCAAGGGCCAGGTGCAGGCTGCCGAACACACTTGGCTCAAATCCGGCTCAGCAGTCCAAC